CAGTGCCACTCCAAGATTCCATTGAGTTACGTTGGTGGTGGTGGTGGTTATGTGCCATGGAGTCAGTTCCAGCTCATAACAACCCTGTACAAGGTTTCCGAGGCTGTAAATCTTTACAAGAGCAAAAACCCTTATCTTTGTCCTGCAGAATGGCTGGTAGTTTCAAACTGCTTACATTGAGCTTAGAAGCAAACTTGAAACCACTATGTAAATTTTCTTGGGTTATCTCAGGATTTTTTTCCCAAGAGCTCTGAGCTCAAAAGAAAAACTGAAAGACTTAATTTGTTAAGTCGGCAAAACATTTAAATATGTATATATGTCCTACTTAGTGGCTATTGGGCACAGAAGTCTCAAATTTTGAGATTAAATTTGTGAGCCTACCCATTTTCTGTTCCATGTGGACTTTCTTGGCCGTTGTTGTTGTTGTTAAGTGCCGTTTCAAACTCATAGCAACCCTGTATAGGGTTTCTGAGGAGCAACTGGTGGGGTTTGAACTGCTGACCTTATGATTAGTAGTCCAGAACTTACCCTACAGTGCCACACCAGTACCTCTGACTTTCCTGGTACTTGCTTTTTATTAGGATAACTATGAAAACTAGCTTTGCAAAGATTGGTTGGAGCAATCCAGAACTGAAACAGAAGCACTTTGATCTATTTCAAGGTGTGGCACATGGAAATTTAAAATATCCCAGGGTGTCCCTGTAATTTAGCTGTAGTACTCTGTGGCACCACTCACTGATTACAGCCAACCAGAAGTTAGGTATTATCATCCAATGGACCAGGTAAGGAAGGATCAGAGAGGGAAAGTGTCTTGCCCTGTTCACACAGCCCAAAGCTCACATTCCAGACATACTTGTCTGGGATTGCCGTGTGCCTGGCTAGGCTGTGTACTCATGGAGAAAAAATACAATTCATTTCCAGTGTGATTTTTTTTTCACTGGTTTCATTCGCAATTCACATTGGACTCAAAGCTGTAATCAGTTGACATTACTTTCTGTGTGTACAATCAGCTGGGGAGGTGATAGACTCTGTAACCCCAGTGATACATGATCTTCCTTTGTGGGATCATCTGACCCACTTGTCTTGGTTTCCCAGGGTTGCTGTAACAGAAATACCAGAAGTTGATGATGATAAAAAACCCACCATTTTCTCACATTCTGGTGGCTTAAAGTCCAAATCAGGGTCTCAGTGGATTCCCTCCTTGTTAGTCATCCCTGACTTCCCTGGTTTCTTGGCTTGTAGATGACCTTCACGTGGCATTTATCTTCCATGTGTGTCTGGGTCTGGCTCTAATCTACTCTTTTCGTAACTTCGAGGTGATTGGGTTTAAGACTTTCCCAACACTGACTGCATGAATATAACAAGGAAGACCATTTTCCCAAGTGGAATTCTATCCCGAGGTATGTAGGTTGGATTCCAGCCTATATGTTGTTGTTGTTGTTAAGTACCATCAAGTCGATTCTAACCCATAGTGACCCTGTATAGGATTTCCAAGGAGCAGCTGGTGAACTTTAACCACCGACGTTGCAGCTCAAATGACTTTGCAGCCGATATATTAGGAGGCCACAGTTCAATCCATAATAGTCCTACTGGGAGATATGATTCCCTCATGTGGCTGTTGGGCTCAGCTCATGCTTGCTTCTGGACTGTCCCTAATGATCTGTTGTCATCGTAGACCAGAGTGATCCTGCTGAACTGGTGCGCCTGGTTCTTGCGAATGAAAAGGCCTGGAGAGGACAAGGTGCGCCCTGTCTGCCAGCACAAACCGCGCCGCTGCAGCGTGACCAGTGTGGAGATGAATGCCATGACTGGGCCACCCACCAGCAATGGGAACCTGCTTTACATCGGCTTCCGTGGCCTGGAGGCCATGCACTGTGCGCCGACACCCGACTCTGGGGTGGTGTGTGGCCGCATGGCCTGCTCACCCATGCACAGCGAGCATCTCCTGCATGGTGAACAGCCTCCCGAGAGCGACCCGGACTTGGCCAAGATTCTGGAGGAAGTTCGCTACATTGCCAACCGTTTTCGCTGCCAGGATGAGAGCGAGGCCATCTGCAGCGAATGGAAGTTTGCTGCCTGTGTGGTTGACCGCCTTTGCCTCATGGCTTTCTCGGTCTTCACCGTCATCTGCACAATCGGTATCCTAATGTCTGCTCCTAACTTTGTCGAGGCTGTGTCCAAAGATTTTGCTTAGCTGCTTCTGTACACATGGGCTTGGTGAGTGTCAAGAGTGCTAGTATCACTGTAGCATTCAACCCACACTTGAGGACCTTATTGCAGTCTGTCAGTCAGGTTGGTTACAGCTTTGTTGTTGCTTCAATAACAGTAACTCCAAACACCTTTGTTCAGTCCGCTCAGAGGGACTCGTTGACACCCGTGAAGTGTCCTTGGACCACTGAGACATCCTTCTGTTCATTCTGTAACTTCTACTGGGTCCTACAGAGGGTCCAAGTAGCTAATGCCCGTGAGGGAGGCCTTCACCTTGGTTTTGCATGCCTGTATGTCAAGTGTCACAAAGGCCTACATGAAAATCAAATGTATGTTTTTCCTGTGTACAAACATAGAGGAAAGTCACAAGAATCCTAATAAACAACCAAACTCATTGAATACATTCATATAATTGACTGTTGAGAGGAACAACAAAAACAACTACAACAGAAAACCTTAACACTACAAATGTAGCTTCTGGGTTTTCTGCAATTCCACTTTTTTCACCCTCTACCAAAAAACTAGTTTGTAGAGAGCAATGTTTTTACAATGCTTATACGTTAAAAACAAACAAAAATATATAGTGATTTAGTCTTAAAAACAATGTTTTGTCAGTCTGACTAATTTCTGCAAACCAACCCTCTCATGGGGAGGAATACAGGTTTGTGCTGATTCCCCTAAATAAGATACTTGTGGGAATCCCTAAACAATCTTGTGCTTTATGTGTTGCCCTGGGACACTGGGCAGTTGGAGTCTATTCTATTTAAAAGTCTGTGAAACTCAAAGGACAAGTAGAGTTCTCTTAGAATCACCAGCCCATAACAGCTAAAGTTAATCAAGTATGTGCTTTATAAAATAATGTATTGGTATTGTTGTTAAGTGCCACCACATCAGTTCTGACTCATAGCTACCTTGTGTAGGTTTTCAAAGGAGTAGCTGGTGGGTTTCCACCAGCAACCTTGTATTTAGCAGTCCAGTGTTTATTTCACAACTACACACTGGGACACAGATGCTTACAATGTTTTGGGGTTGATTAGTTTTAGAAATATGTGTAACCATACAACATAAACTGAGAACATCCCTTAGATTTTTCTCCACGTGTCAGAGAAGAGTAGGAGTGGCAGGAACTGGTATAGACATGATGTGACCAATAACTTTCCTGGATCAGGAGAAGAAAGAGCTCATTTGCATGCAAAGTTGATGAAATCAGTTGATTAAATCACCAACAGCCCTTTGCAGCAGGTTCAGCCTCCAAGTTCACCCATTCTAAATGGCATGGATAAGGGATGCACAGTACTTTGTATTTTCTATTACGGTATCCTCAGAATACAAGTAGAAGTGTTTTGATATATAAAGAGAATGCTTCATTTCTTATTGTTATCCAAAAATTGATCTCCACCACATTTTTGCTTAATCAAAAACCTGTGTACTTTTGGATTTTATATGGAAAGAAACATAAAAAACAGACAATGGTAGTTTATATTTTGACCACCAAGTAACTACTCTGCCATTAAAAAATAACCGAAAGATCCATATGTACAACATAGTTAGAAGAGCATGAATGGTTACAATACCAACCTCCCACTTTTCCTGTGTTTTTCTCTCTCAGAGGACACTAGTGAGCCTCTTGGATACACTTTCAGAAAGGAAAGAAGGAGGCAAAAAGAAAGAGAGGAAGACATCCTTTTTTACACTCGAGCTCTGAACCTTGCTTTCTTCACTTAGAAATTCATCTTAGAGATCTTTCCATAGGAGTATATCAAGATCTACCTCATTCCTTTGAATCGCTGCTAAGCGTCTCATTGCCTCAATAGACTATACTTTATTTTGTTGATCTTTTACTGGTGAGCATAAATAGTATCTCCAGTTTTTATTTTTATATATCAACCTATAGTTAGCATTCTTGTACATATACCTTGGCATACACTTGTAACCATATCATGGAATACATTCTAAGTTAGAAATAAAAAAAATTCTAGATTGAAGGAATTTAAATTTAAAGGAAATTAAATTGAAATTTTTGATAGGTGTTGCCAGATGATCTTCCAAAAACTGACCAATGGATATACCTACCAAGAGTACAATGAATAAGCCTGTTTCTTGACTTTCTCAGCACTGAGTGTTATTAAATTTCATTTTTCCCAATGTGATTTCTGAAATATGATATTGCACAATTCTTCTGACTTAGTTCCTTTAATGATGAGTAAAACTGAGCATCCTTTCAAATGTTTTTGTTTGTTTGTTTGTTTGGCAATTCCTTTTTTTTTTGTAGATTTGTCTTTTATACAAATTTAACTGGGCTGTTTAGCTTTTATCTTAATTTGCCTGTGCATTTTGGACCTTTTTGTCTCAAAATTATTTTTATTTATCATTTGTCTTTTGACATTATTAATTAGTTTAGTTATTTATTGGCATATAGAAGCCACAAAATTTATACTACCAGTTTATTCTCAGTTTTCATTTGTAGATCCTGGGATTTGCTCCAGTTTAAAAAGGCATCCTCCACTCTGAGATTATAAATAAATGTACTCATACTTTCTTCTAAAACTTTCATGGTTTCCTTTGTTTTACTTTTACAACTTCTAACTCTCTGGAACACATTTATTGTAGGACGTGGAAGTAAAGATTCTTTTTTTTTTCTTTCCTCCAAATGATTGGTCAGTTGTGCCAACAAACTATCAAATCATGCCTTTTTATATTTACAATTATTCTCCACTTATCAAATTGCTACCTTATTTGTAAATTTAGTTTCCTTAAGAATTTGGGAGTATTGCTATTTTATGAATGCTTTTAGTTACTGAAGTTTTATTCATATTAGCACTGATATTTTCAAGTCAATCCTACCCTCTAAACACACACAAATTCACACTCATGTGAATATTTTTTAATTGAGGTCACAGTGCATTTCTAGATTAGTATAGGGGAAACTGGGAGTGCTGGTGTGGCGCTGTGGATTAATGCGCCAGACTGCAAAGCCATTTGAACTGCAAGGTCAGCGGTTCAAGCTCACCAGCTGCTCCTTGGAAACCCTATACAGTGTCACTATGGGTCGGAATCTACTCTACGGCGCTTCATAACAACAACATAGGGAAAACTGACATCTATAAATAACTGTATCTTTTTATACAAGAGCACTGTAATTTAGACTTTTACTTAGTCAGATTTTATGTTACTCAGTAGAGTTTGCATGAATTTATTCAGACAGGCCCTATATATTTCTTGCTTATTTTATCATGTTTGATATTGCTTTCAGTTGAATCATTTCTTTCGTTTTATTTTCTAACTGGATTTATGGGAGAGTAGTTACTTTTTATATACTAACGCCATTAACTAACATCCATAATGGTGATTTCATATTGTTCCTAACATTGAACAGGCCTCCACGTTGCCAATACATCTTTTCTTCTTCCTCTCAGCCAGTTATATCAAACTGCCATTTGAGAACAGTGTTACTGCTCAGGACACAGACTTGTTTTGTTCTTGATGTTAATGGGATGTTTTTATATCTCACCATTAGACTTCTGTGAAAACATGGATTCTCTCTGCCATAATAAAAAAGTATCAATGTATTCTCAAACTATCAAGTGTTGAGGGTGGGAATCAGTATCTATGGAGATGATCACACCATTTCTCCCGGTTGGTCTGTTCTTTTCAGGTGCCATCCAGTTGGTTCCCAGAAAGACCCCTTGTACAATAGAATAAAACACTGCCTGGTCAGTCACCATCTTCACAATCACTGATCTGTTTGAACCCATTGGTGTAGCCTCTTTGTCAACCTTCACTGATCCTCCACTTTACCAAGCAAGATGTATTTTCTCCAGGGACTGGTCCCTCCTGATAGCATTTCCAAAGTATGTGAGACACAGTCTTGTCATCCTCACTTTTCAGGACTGTTGTTAAGTGTCGTTGAGTCAATTCTAACTCATAGTGAGTGAACCCTGTATAGGGTTTCCAAGAAGTGACTGATTGAACCACTAATCTTGTGCTGATCCTACAGTACCACACCAGGCTAATGTTTTATTATATTAATAGATTCCTTAAGATTAAACCACTATTATATTTCCTGAGATGACTCCTGTTTGGTCTTAGAATTTTTGCTGCCAAAATTCATATTAAGATTAATAATTTGACAGCTTGCTTTTATATGGAATTTTTCATATTTTTTAAATATACTGATTTCAAAAAATTGATATAAAAACTCTTTACATTCTGCAGCACTTTGCTTGGTCTGGAAAAACTCTTGTTGTTGTTGTTGTTAGGTGTTCTGTAGTCAGATCTGACATCATGACCACATGCACAACAGAATGAAATACTACCCAGTTCTGGGCCATCCTCACAATTGTTATTTTTAAACCCAATTGTTCCTGCTAATATGTCAATCACATTTTAGGGGGCTTTCCTTTGTCACTGACCCTCCATTTTTCCAAACATGATGTCCTTCGCCAAGTACTGGTCCCTCCTGATAATATGTCCAAAGTACAAGAGATAAAATCTCACCATCAGCGCTTCTAAGGAGCAGTCTGACTCTACTTCTTCC